TATCATAAAGCATTTTGTAGACCCTACCTCCATAATAATCATTGTCAACCGAAAGACCACATCATGCTAAGAAAAACTAGCAAGAGTCAATGCAATTTCCAAGTCCATGGTTGAGGTGTTGGAAGTCTTTATAATAAAGTTATACAAAAAAGTAGACATTTGATGACACAAAAGCAACACATTGAAACTTTTGTGATTAAGCAAACCAAGGAAGCTTGCATTAATTATCACACTTTATTGAGTACCTCACTTGAGTGCACAAGATGGTTGTTCAGACAAGGTTTACCTTTTTATGGCCACGATGAATTGTTGAAATCAAGCAATAGGGTTAATTATTTGGAGCTTATGCAATTTCTTGCTGATGATAATGAGAAAGTTAGAAAGGTTGTGTTTAAGAATGCTCCCAAGAATGTTAAGGATACTTCTTCCGATAGTCAAAAAGATCTTATCCCAAGAATGTTATGGATACTTCTTCCAATAATCATTGTGCAACTGAAATCATTAATGCAATCACTTAAAATATGGAAGGCACATTTTGTTTTGTCTTTTGGTTGATGGATCACGTTATGTTTCAATTTAAGAGCAAATGACGATGGTATTGCATTATGTTGACAAAAAAGAGAAGCAATTGAAAGGTTTTTGGGTATGCAACATGTCTCATCTACAACTATTTTCATTTCTTACCAGAAATCGAGGCATAAAGCTTTAAAACTCACAAACTTCCATTACCATCATGTGGACCTCTATTTTCAAGTTCCTGATATGCAACTAAAGGAATTGAATGGTCACTTCAATAAGATAAATATTGAGTTGCTTCTTTGTATGATATGTTTGAGTCTGGTAAATAATTTTGCATTATTTGACAAAGCAAAACTTATTCGTTTAGTCCAACTTTATCTTCAAGATATTAATCATATGGACCTTATGAATCTTCCAATTCAACTTGAAAATTACATTCATGATAAGTAGATACATAGTGAGTATTCATCATTGAGAGGAATTATTGATCTTTCAAAGGATTTGATGAAGACCGGAAGGTGTGCAAGTTATAAGTGTATAAGCTTCTTACATTAGTTTTGGTGTTACCAGTTGTAAACATTTTGGTGGAAAGTTTCTTTTGACATGAAAATTGTGTTTTCACAATCTTACGCAATGGTGTTTTAACAATCTTCAAAGCAGAAAAAGCTTTCTCCACCAAATCGGTTGTAGCCAGTAACATCAAAACCAATGTAAAAAGCTTATGCACTAACATGTAACTTGCATACCTCTCGGTCTTCACTTACTCCATTGTAAGATCACTAATTCCTTTCAATAATGAGAACTCACTATACATCTTCATATCATGAATGTAATTATCAAGTTAAATTGGAAGATTCATGAGGTTCATAAGATTAAAATCTTGACAATAAAGTTGGGCTAAACGAACAATTTTTGCTTTGTCAAAAGATACAGAACTCAAATATGCCATATAAAGAAGTAACTTGGTGTTTACCTCATTGAAGCGATCATTCAATTCCATGACTTCAAATATAACAATAATACTAATTATAATACCATAATGTGAGTTCCACCATGTATCACAATGACGCATGGGACTACTATCTTGATTTAACCCTTTACTCGTTTCAAGATCAACAATATCAAGAGCTTTCTTAAGTTGTTGTTTCTCTCTAAATGCATCACGCCACTTACACGATCCAATAATATTGACCAAAATATTAGCATTGTTGGAGAAAATGACAACGCCTTCACTTCCTTTTGCAACAACTACAAGAGCTAGTTGAAGTTGATGTACATAACAATGAACATAAAATGCTCGAGGATATTTGTTCACAATTTTTGTTTTAAGGTCATTTAGCTCACCTTTCATATTATTAGCTGCATCATAGTCTTGTCCCCGTAATTTGGACATACTCAAATTTATTGTAGCAAATAATCTCTTAATGGCCTCTCCAAGAGAGCTACTAGTTGTAGACAAGACATGTTGCACATCAAAAAACTTTTCAATTGCTTCTTCTTTTTTGTTCACATAACACAATACCACCGCTATTTGCTCTTTAGTTGAAACACAACATAACATGATCCATCAACTAAAAGAGAAAATAATGTACCTTCCATATCTTAAGTGATTGCATCAATGGTTTTAACTGCACAAGCATAGACAAGATCTTTTTGAATAATGAAAGAAGTAACCTTAAGATTCTTGGGAGCATTCTCATACACAACCATTCTAACTTTCTCATTGTGATCGGCAAGGAATTTCATAAGCTCCAAATAATTACCCCTGTTGCTTGATTTCAACAATTCATCGTGACCACAAAAAGGTAAACCTTGTCCCAACAACTATCTTGTGCACTCAACAAAGTGTGATAATTAATGCAAGATTCATCGGTTTGCTTAATCACAAATGTTTCAATGTGTTGCTTTTGTGTCATCAAATCTCTAGCTTGTTGTACAACTTTATGAAGACTTCTAACACCTCCCTCACGGACTCAAAAATTTTATGTTCATTTCTTCCAATTTATAAATCATTTCTCAGTGAATGCATCACTTCCAATACTACCAGGTTTATCGAAATCACATTTGAAAAGATAGCAATAACATTAAAATGCATCATCTTTTTACTATACTATACGCTAACCACTTAAACTTTTCAAACCAACTAGTGATAAAACATCGATTGTTGCTAGCTTTTCTTAGCATGATGTAGTCTTTAGGTTGACAATGATCATTTTGGAGATAGTGTCAATGAATTGCTTCACGATAATTAGGTGGATAATCAAGCATTTGACGTCTATGTCCAGGGTTTGCATAAAGATTAGTCAATATTTCATCTAACTTAGTGGTTTCACTTTGTTGTGAACTCCCATAAATATTTGAAAGAGGAATTCTTGGAATATTTGAAGGACAAGGAGGACTACTTGGAATATTTGAAGAAGGAGGACTAGCCGAAATATTTGGAGAAAGATTTAAACATTGTTTCTTATAGTATCGTTCCATTACGTAATTGTAAAATAGAAAGAAAAACAAAATTCTTAGACTCTTAGTCCTAGAGCAGACTGCACTAACTTGACTAATAACTAATCTAACCGACAATTCAATCAATCAATACCAATAATCACACAAATTATTCAATAAACAAAAATTCAATTCAACTAATCATATGAATAATCGTAGACATTATACAATAATTCAATTAATCAATCAATAATCAAGAATTCAATTTTTACCTTAAACATAATTTTATTCATCAATAATCAATAACCAATAACCACATTAGTGTATTACTATATGATTCTATTTCTATACTATACCAATTAAACAAAAATTCATATTAAATAATTAATTAGGGTTAAGGATTGTAGATTAGAAATTAAAATATTTACCTGCAAATTGGGAGTAGCTTCAAGGTTGAAAGCTGAGGTGGCTTCAAAGTTGGCGACGATTGGAGTGGCTGGCGCCGGCTAGAATGGCTTGAAGGCTGTAAAGGGGCCAAACGGGGTTGGGGGTTCTATTGCTGGGAGATGGAGAGCGGTAGCACATTTTGTTGCTCTCTAATTGAAAAATGAAGAAAGGAACAAGATTGGAGGGAGGAAACAAAGGGGCAATGGTCCCTATATTTATTTTTTTTTTCAAATCATTAAACAAAACGGTGTCGTTTAATTAGGAAATTTTTAATATTTTTTTTTACCAGGACCAAAACAATGTCATTTTGGCCTGGATTTGAAAAAAAAAATATTATAACCTTGCGCTACGCATCAGTAAAACCAGATCATTGGTCGCCCCAAATGGGATTTCTCAATTCTGGTGAGAGCAGAGGGGCTAAACCAGCGTTCCTAGACATGTTTTCCGGCGATGGGAAGGGCGGCTGCCACTCCTTGCCCTCATGTACCTTCGCCACTATCTACACTTAATAATCTATATGTCATTCTATTTTGCAATTTATGTACAATTATGTATTTTCTTAAGTATAAGTGGACATTATTTATGCATTATACAATATACTTAATTAAAGTAAAACAAAATGCCTAGATTCTAGACTCCTAGGTGCCTAGGCACTAGACCCTTGCCCTTACCCGACTAGTGCCTAACGCCGTTTAGAACATTGCCTTTACCTATTCAGCTTTCTTATTCTCAAGCACAATCAAATTTTTGGACATCTTCACATTCTTCTTTAGTGGTAGACCTATTAGGGAGGCCTCCAATAGTGGTAGACCTATTTCCATACTTTCTTTCAACCATTCATTGGCACTGAGATCGAAAGAAAAACTCGGGCCAAATCATGAGTGGACATAAATCGTACTCTATCTGATTTTTTATGCCAACAACTTTAGCTATTAAATTTAATTTTCACAACTATTTTTTTAACAAACGATATTATCTGCATTAAGAGGAGGGCTGTTGACTTAGCATCATAATGAGTTAGCAATAATGTGATTCAAATTCGCCTTTGGCGAGAATCAAACCAAAGACCTCTCACTTACAAGTGAAGAAGAATACTATTAAATCGTAGTACTAAGTGGCTCCACAACTGTAATATCTTCTACTTTCAATCTTAGACATCTATTTTTCTTACACTTTAATTTGGATTGAATAACGTCTAACCCCACAGTAAACCGAACCAACCGGGTATATAATAATTTAATAGAAAAGTAATTTTACATTGCACATGTCACCCTCTTATTACAAATAGAATTATTAGGTTGATTTGGATCAAGTTGAAATAGAAATATGAGGAATTTGAAAATCGTTAGAAATTGAATAATTTGAAGCCCAATAATAAAGCATAGGCGTTCGGCCTATTAGTGTTGGCCATGAATAGAATTTGAAATTTAGTATGAATGAAATTTTGTTTATTTGAACAAATGATATTATCTACACTAAGGAGGTAAGACAATGAGTTAAACCTCACAATGGGCGAGCCATAATGATGTGGTATAAATTTACCTTTGACGAGAATCGAACTGGTACAATTCTTATTCTTCTTAGTCAAAAGAAGCTAAGCACAACAAAGTTGAATTTAAGCCAAATGCAAGTTTTACAATTCTCATTCTTCTTAATCAAAAGGAGCAAAGCACAACAAAGTTGAATTTAAGCCAAATGGAAGTTTTACAATTCTTATTCTTCTTAATCAAAAGGAGCAAAGCACAACAAAGTTGAATTTAAGCCAAATGAAACTTCACTTTTGGAATTCTATGACGGTGTAGAAATAATCGATGTAGAATGGTTTGAAATGGGAGAAACCAGCGGAGAGACCGAGCTGCCGGAGTTCATCTTCGCTCCTATTCTTGCCCTTGGCCCTGTAGATGGTCATCACGAATATGTCGTTTTCTAGGAGCGCACGGGTCCTATGACTCTCGTCTGATTTCTTCGGCAACACCGGCTCACAAGCTATAAGCTTACCTCCTTCCGGAAGTGCTTTGTAACAATTCTCCAGTATCACCTTGCATTCGCTATCCGTCCACGTTGATAAAATCCACTGCCAAGTTTTGACATATATTAATTAGTCAAGCCAATCAAGCATAATTAGTGCATAAGTTTGAGCAAATTAGGACAGAAATTTCAGTTTCTAATTCGACATGCTTGCTAGGAGACCATAAATGAACTTAAAAAAAAAGGAAAAAGAATGGTAGTGCGCATTTGATATTGGTTTTAGAGGAGCTAAAAATGTTTACTGAACTAAAATTACTTTCTTAATGCGTTGGACATTAAAATCAAAATAAGCAGTTCTACGTTGTAGAAGCCCTTGTAGGTCGTAAAAATGCTTTGCAGAGAAACACTTAAGATTGAAGAAGAACTTACAATTGAGTGATTCCCCAGGACACACTTGATTTTCTAATAAAAAATTCTACATGTTTATAGTAGAGGCATATATAAAATAAAAAGCTGCATATATACTAATAGTAGAGTTATCAATTCCGAATAAGGGGTAGTATATATGCAGCTTTTTATTTTATTTTATTTCATACAACTATTAGTATGAACCCAATTTAAACAATAATTTGTAACTGAGGGGTGTGTATGTTACAAGCATTGATTTGGTGCAGGTGTATTCAATTGGGATTTTGAGGGATTTTAATTATTTTAATGAATTTAAGGGTATTCAATCAGGATTGTAAGTGATTTTCTGAAATTCAACATGTATTCAATCATTATTTTAAGAAAGTTTATTAAAATCTTTAGAAATTTGGATGTATTTAATTAAGATTTTAAAGAAGTTTATAACATTCTAAGTGTATTCAATTAGAATTTGATTTTAAAGAATTTGAAAAAGTTGAGGAATTAGAGTGAATTGAAGAGATTTTGTAGTGTATTTTAAGCAACCACAAATCTCACCTTCCCCATGAGATTTCGAGGGAATTAAATCAAAATTTTACATGAAATATTTACAAATTAATTAAACTCCTAAGAAAATTTATGAATTTATAAATCTATCAAAATATCTCAAATTCCCAATTGAATACATCCAATAATAAGAATTGGATTAACTTGGTTTTGATTGAGTCATGTCTCATGGTATATCTCTGGACTAAGAGAACAATTTTATATTTTGTATAGGGGTCTAGTGCTTAACACTTTTTCTGTCATTATTCTATGGATTAAGAAGACAATTACCAAAGAAAATTGAATTTTGCACTCATTTTTTATTTTTATTTTTACACACTTGTGTTTATTTTGGTTTATTGATTTTATCTGTTTATTTAATTTAAAGTTAAAAAATAAAACAGAAATGTCCAATGAAAGAGAATAAGTCAAATCGAAAACTCAGAAGTAGAATCTTAGAAGTATTTGAATAGACTCATTCATGCATCTAAATATAGTTAAATAAGTCACCACTCATAAAATAGTGAGAGAGATGCTTTCAAGTTTCAAGTGTCAAACAAACATAACAATCTGATATTGATGTTCTACCTAACTTACTTAATTAATTTTGGAAAGTATATGCATCTATTAATCACACTTTAAATATCTATGGTCAGTAAGTACTCATCAGTAATATTTTTTTAGTTAATATATATATATATAATCACTTTAAAAATCTAATTGTGCACTAGAAAAATATAAAATTTCTAAATATAAAATATTTAAAGTGCACGATTTGATTTTGAGAGTGCGAATAACAATTTTCAAAATATATTTGTTTAATGGAGGTTTGCACAAACCTTAAAAAAAATAGCGTCACCCCTAGGAATTGACTTGAACATGTCACCACCAACATGACTCACTCCTGCACCACAAACCATTAACATAATGCTCGTATCTAGCAATATGATTATAATTCATCATTTTTCTTCAATGATACGTAGAACTAAATGGTATTAAAAATGAATACGTAGGACTGAGTAATACAAAAAATGAATAGTTCAAATGAAGAGTAATAAAAATAAAATTTAAAAGCTAAATTACACGTATCACTTAGTGATACGTAGCATTAAAGGTGCACCTCATAATTAATGAAAATTTTGTTATTGTCTGATGTATTTTATGGATTAAATTTTTAACTCATTAAACGGTTCTCAATTGATCATTCACCAAAATCTAACGGCCAGAATTCCTAATATATAAAATTTAAGTGAACCAAACTCAAATAAGTTATGACAACACATGCATTGACTAGATATTGTTACTAATAAACCCGGTCATTTATCTTACCAGCTATAGTTGGTGCCTTGGCAACGACTTCAGGCAAGTCGAAGTTAATTCCTTCCCTCACATTAGGATGCTTCTGTAGGATCATCCGCAGGCAATCCCCTGCACTCCCTCCCACATCCACCAACCTCTCCACCCCTTCAAATCCGTCGTAGCCGTCCAAAATCGCCTTCATGAACGGCACTGACACACCCGACATCGCCTTTTGCATTAGGCCGTTCATCTCCGGCTTTTTCCCGTAGTACTCGTAAGCCGGCTCACCGTTCGCCTTGACAAATGGCTCCACCGTGGAGTCCACCACCGCCTCGTGAACCATCGGCCACGCTCCCATAAGCACATCCTTGAAAAGCTCCAATATTAAATAGGATAATTCTAGGGAGATCAAAATTTTTAGGGTGCTTTAGATTTTGGTCCTTATAATTCATGATTTCTATAAAAACTCATCTACATATAAAAGTCCAAATTTAAAATCTGCAGCCACATTGGTACACTATTAACCTATTAATACAATTTATTTACACCCTTGCCACTTTTCAAAATCCCTAAATTTATTCCAAATTAAAAGTTGTAGAAAAAGTGAAATAAAATATACAAACTGTTGTATTGCATTAATTGTATCGATATCATACCAAAAATTTACCTTTTCGTGATATATATATATATATATATATATATTGCATTAATTGGGAAGTAAATTAATTTGTTTCAATTATTAAAAAGAAATATACTAAATCCGTATTATATATTTTGTGTGACATCCCACATCGCTCAGGGGAGTGATCCTTAAATGTATATTCCCATCCCTACCTAGCATGAGGCCTTTTGGTAGGTTACTGGCTTCGGGTTCCATTGGAACTCTGAAGTTAAGCGAGAAGGGGGCTAGAGCAATCCCATGATGGGTGACCCACTGGGGAAGTTGCTTGTGAGTTCCCAAAAACAAAACCGTGAGGGAATGGTAAGCCCAAAGCGGACAATATCGTGCTACGGTGGTGGAGCGGGCCCGGGAAGTGATCCGCCCCGGACCGGGATGTGACAAATTGGTATCAGAACTTAACCCTGGCCGTGATGTGCTGACGAGGACGTCGTGCTACGGCGGTGGAGCGGGCCCGGGAAGTGATCCACCCCAGGCCGGGATGTGACAAATTGGTATCAGAGCCTAACCCTGGCCGTGATGTGCCGACGAGGACGTCGGGCCCTTAAGGGGGGTGGATTGTGACATCCCACATCGCCCAGAGGAGTGATCCTTAAATGTATATTCCCATCCCTACCTAGCACGAGGCCTTTTGGGAGCTCACTGGCTTCGGGTTCCATTGGAACTCCGAAGTTAAGCGAGAAGGAGGCTAGAGCAATCCCATGATGGGTGATCCACTGGGAAGCTGCTCATGAGTTCCCAAAAACAAAACCGTGAGGGAATGGTAAGCCCAAAGCGGAAAATATCGTGCTATGGTGGTGGAACGGGCCCAAGAAGTGATCCGCCTCGGGCCGGGATGTGACATTTTGAATCAAATAACACCTCTCTAACTTGTAGGTAAATTATTTTTCGTGTATTGTTACGTATATTAGGCACGTTTTATTGTTGTATAAATATAGGTATGACATAATATTTTTCAATATAATACATCAAATTATATTTCTTCCTATTATGGGTAAATTATTGTCCATGTATTCGTGAAAAAAAAAGAAGATATTATATTACACACAGGGTATAATTTTTTGTAGGTAAATTATTGGAAATTAATTTGTAGGTAGGTAAATTACTTTGTTCCAATTATATAAAATACACACACACACACACACACACACACACACACACACACACTGCACCTAGATTATATATATATATATATATATATATATATAATTTTTTATTTTTTTTGAGAAAACCTAGATTATATATTTTGAATCAAATAACATTTTTGTATACATGGTAGGTAAATTATTTTTCATGTATTATTACATATATTAGCCTACTACGGACATTTTTTTGGTAAAAATATATAAAGTAATATGTATATGATTGTTAGTAGGTAAAAGATAAAATCAAAAGTATGATCGAATTCCTAAGTTTATGCAATATTTTGTTGTTGGTATACAATATTTTGCATCATTGGAAATGAACATTTCAAATAGTAGGTAGGTAAATTAATATGGTCTAATTACACACACACACACACACACACACACACATATATATATATACACACATTTTGAATCAAATAACATTTTTGTACATGGTAGGTAAATTACTTTTTTTGTATGTATTATTACACATATTAGTTTTTTTTTTTTTTTTTGGTTGTAAAAATATATATATGAACTCATAATGCCTGATATATAGAATTAAGCCAACAATTCTCATATTTGATATTAATATGCATTGAATATTTTAACATTAATGTCTTATTTTTCTTTTTGCAAAATCATTAGCTCTTTCCTTACAATCTGCATAGAATTAATTGTGCACATCAAATATGCAATAGGGGTATTTTAGGCATCTAAAAAATGTAAAATGTGTAAAGTAATATGTAATTAATGAATTCACTTGGGTGGATCCTAGTCACTTGGTTTATTTTTTTTTTGAGTAAAACAATTATGTCAGGTTTTATATGGAAAAATTTGAATTTAAGGGGTTAAAATCATATTTTCAGTATATAAACTAAATTTGTAAATCAAATGATTTCATTATAGATGATTGGATTATTAACTAATTGTCGATTAACGTGCTTGTTTCTTAATTATTGGTGATACATCATTTGGTTTACAAATTTACTAAATTTGGTCTAGTGCTTCTACACTTATTTACTCTCTTTTTTTCTACGTACTTTATACTTCAAATATAAGGCTTATTATATTAACACTCAAACATTGTTGAATACACTCCATATTTGCTTTTTCAATTAAAATTTTTTGTTAATACACCCCACATACATTTTCATAATACCCTTACACCCCATATTCTCAACATACACCTTTACATTCCATACACCCGACTTTTCTCTATACACCCCACACTCTTCACAGTGATTCTGTTCACTTTTTTTTTGGTTTGTGCTATGTAGTGCTTGATTCAAAAGCATTCATGTCATTCAAATAGAGGAAAGTAGAAGTTGTTTGGGGATCGTTACAAAAGTGAAAGGGCAGAAGTTTCGACACGATTAAGAGGGTTAAGAGCATAGATGGTGAGAGCAATCCGTTTGAATTTTTTTTCCTTAAATATAGCAGCTCAACTATTTTCAATCTAATCAACATTGATCAGTGGGGGGGGGGGGGGTGTATCTCAAAAATGATAATTTAGGAAATATAAGATGATGATGCAAGGACCTTAAGGCTCTCTATGTCCATTTGGTAGTTAAATTCAACAGTATAAAGTATTGCCTTTGTTTGAGATGCACACTAAATGATATTTTATGCATCACATAGCATACTCAAACACATGCTGTAAATGCAAAAATTGTCTCTTGAAGGCACAAAAGCAATTTAGTATTATCTGATCATGATGTTATTTTTAGAACATGGCTTTGTGAAACAGCATCACCATTATCTACATTGTGAAAGAGGGCAAGGATTGTAATCTGACACCAATGAAGTTTAACCTTCATCCACCTGTGACCGTACATTTTGAACAAGGTGAAGCTTCTGAAATGTCGATTTCAAGTTTCATCCGTCAAAAATAATTTTTCTCAATCAATGTATTTGTAGTTTGCTTGGTTAGGCTTTTGTTCCACAATGGAGAGTGAGAGTGGTGAGTTGAAGAGATAAATAATCTTGTAATATACATGTCAAAAGAGATTTTGGGGTGTATTTAATATTTTTTTTAACCTTATAAAATCAAAATTGTCATTGCATATTAGGATATATAAATTATTTAATATTAAATTTTAATGTGTGATGTATTCAACATTACATAGAATGCTAATAAAAAAAGCCAAATATAATCTTTACTTTTCTTCAATGGATGTCGTAAGTTCAAATTTCACATACGGCAATCATCGAATTCTTTTTACTTATTGAAGAAATTAAATGTCTAATAGTAATAATTAAGATTATGAAAACCTGGTGGTGTTGGAGGACATAAGGGCCGTACGACAAGCCGTTTTGGTCCGTGACGAGGGTTTGACCGATTGGAGTGAGGGAGAACTTTCTGTCGTCGGAGCCGTCGTCCAGGTTGCTCAGATGCTCCTCAAACACACCGTAGCTGGTGAGCATACGGAGGATGCGCTGGAGGTTCTCGGCGTCGCCCCCGCCATTAGGGAGGACGCGTGCAAGTATGTCAGAGGCGGAGAGGGGAGTGTTGCAACCGCCCTGCCAGATGGCGTCGGCGACGTTAAGTCGAACAACGGCGTTTAGAGACATGGGGACGCTGATCATGTTGGCCAGCTCCAGTATAGCCAGTCTTGCTTCGTTGCTGCTGCTGCTGCTTGGCCCTGCGGTCACGTGACTCACTTGGTTATTCCCCTCCATGGCCTGATGAGATGATGACCTAGAGGCTATATTTCAGTTTCTCTTTTTCTTCGAGTTCTTTATACTCTTATTATTTCAGAAAAAAATAAAAAATAAAATAAAAGTCTCCTCTTTCTTCTGGATCTTTAAATTACAAGTTACAACCATATTTTAGGAAAATTCTTCCTTACACAACAAACGTCAGAGTTGGTGTCGGCTTCTCTCTGGGGCCGCATGTGATGAATCTTGTGAAAAGATAATACTGGTTCTTTTCTTTTTCTAAGTGGGTCCAAAATTATTCCAAGTTTGAAACATGAAAAGTCAGGAATGCACTGTAAATTTTGTCTTTTTTATCCCAAAAGTCGATCCGTGATGCAATTATTTGATTGATATATGGGAGTGAATCGCAATATCGGAAAAGAATGATTTTTTACATAAATATTTGAATTGTTCTTCATATTATTAATTAGTTTTATATAGTAAAACCTTAACGTTTTTGTGGTAAAAGCACAAATTGTTTCACGTGGAAAGTACAACGACAACACGTGTTTCAGATCATCTTATTTGTGTTGTCCACATGTTAAGTTTAAAAATTGCTACATATGACATGACATGTTAAGAATGAATCCCAAATCATGGAAAAAAGGGATATTAAATGCATTTATAAGAAATTAGTATTCTTCTATATTGTTAATTAATTTTATGATCAAACCTCAACTTTTTTAACTAATCCTTCCATTATTAAAGGTAGGATTGGTCTCTTCCAAACTTGTGAAAACAGTGATGTGAAATGTGGTATCTTCAGCAGTTTTTTTATTTTTTTTATTTTTTATTTTTTAAATATAAAAAGGTCATACCGATTTACTAATTGAATTTGTACTACAATATTAATTTTATTATAAAATTTTATTTTAGTTAATTATCTTATATTTTTTTATATTATAAATATCTGATAATTATACTTTTATAAATAATTTATTACTCCTCCATCGTCAGATATTCAAAATTTTGTCGAAAATAGTTCACCTGTTTGCCATGTGATTTCAATTCTCCCTTCAGTTGAGGATAACACGACTTTTGCGCCACTAAAACTCACTACACGTGAACTTTGTTCTTCCTCGAGCACGTCTGATGTATTGAACTCTATATAGCAACGACTCATCTTAGTGAGCAAGATTTTTTCACCCTTTTAAGTAGCTCCTGTGACAAATATAAACACAAAATAGATGAAAGATTTGAAACTTTGTTTTTTGGGGAAAAAAAAATAGCTTTTTATAAAGGTTTAAGAGAGATAATTGGCTAACAGCCACTAATTCATAATATAAAGTTGTTGCGAAATTGGTTGAATGCCCACATAAAACAAACATGTGAAAGATAAAACAAGCATGTGAAAGATGGAAGAATGGAAGTCGAAATTATAGGCTTAAATAGAAGTTTGGTTTTTTTTTATATTTATACGTGTAAACTTTCAACGTGCATTAATTGATATTGTAGACTTTTGCATGTTAAGAGTTCTATATAAAAAGCATGCGATATATGACCAAAATACAATAAAAGAAAACACAACACAATAGAGAAATTCATGGAAGTTATGCCAAGGCTAGAGAGAAGAGAGAAAAATACTAAGAGTTATGGTTATACTCTTATTAATTCAGATAATGAAAGAAACTACTATTGCTAACCCGAGGACGTAGGCACACCTGCCAAACTTAATAAACATTGTACCTTATTTACTCTATATGCCACTACATATATCGTCTATTTTGCAACAAAAACCTCCATACAATATTTAACTATTCCATTCTTGAGCTACCATGCATACATCTCCTTTCGAGAAATGCTACATCTATTAGTAGATTTATTGTGATATTCTATGCAGTAATAACCTCTATCTATTTATGAAAAGTTTGGGTTTCAATTTAGGCCAGTTACATAACTTTCATATTGTAATAAGTTATAATTGTTTTTAGATTTTGTTACAAAAAAATTTGCCTGTACATAGTATAACTGTTAATAACGCCAAAATAATGTAATGTCACAAATAAAAATTTAAAAGGAAAGATACTTTTCTGTAATGTAATAACTCATCAAAATAGGCGCCTTGTTGTAGAGGTAAAAATGTTTTCAACTTCTCAAACATGCTTACAACTTCCTGACATAAGACTTTTGGCATTAAAGGCAAAACTACTGTGCATACATTCATTAGAGCATCTTTGATGGAGAGGTGCATAGTTAAGATGTGAAAACTACAATTACATCACATTTTTACATTTTATGGGGATGTCAATGTGACATGTATTTCAATGGGAGAGATGCAAACTTGGGATCCCATGTACTATTCTCTCTTTATTTGATGGGGTCCACCTCCAAAAGATGTAAACAAATATGTAACTTTGGATTTTTATTTACATTTTTCGGCTCAGATGAGAATTTTACTTTTATTAGAGAGATTTACCAACTAAAAATATAAAAAGTTCATTTCAAGGCATTTTGTGTCTCCCATTGTAGATATTGTTAGCCAATATAGCGTCTAGCTATTAGAGTACTTTCATTGGTATGGGCAAATGGGTCGGCAAACCATATTTGATGAGTCACGTAAGCAAAATGTTGCACGTTGGAAATTGAGTAGGTAAAATTGCACTCTTCCAGAGTAGGCAACAATACTGCCTACAGTTGGGCCCAAAAATCTTACGTACAAGCCCAATCACATTTGGAAGCCCAATTATCGTAAAAATACCTCGAGCAAAGCTTAAGTATATGCAAAAGGTGCAAAATCGAGAAGGAAGCGTATTTACAATCATGCCAAATAACCTATGAGTGGTATATTTGTATGACCATGCCAAGCCCACGCATATCTATCGCGCCAAGCTTTGTCACGACGTTGTAGACAAGTCATGTTAACCACGCTACACGCTAATATGAGCTCACGCCATGTATCAGGGGTTAGCCAACTAGATCGTGTTGTGGATGGTTACGAAAGATTATCAAGCCTATGTGAAACCAATATTGTGGAAGACTTTGGGCTGCTTAAGACTACCAAAAGTCCAAGCCCATGATTCTTGAGTTCCAAGTAGGTAGGTCTGGGAAAGAACAAATCAAGTTTCCCTTTCCATTAGCAAGCCAACCAGCCCGCTTAGGAAGAAACAAAAATCCAAAGCTTTAGGACCATGTGAAAACCTAGTGCAAATCGTTCATTAATGAGGAGAGAGGGGATCTTTCCCTTCCCAGCTCATATAGAAAAACAAGAAATGAAAACAAGGAGGGGTGTTGCCAAAAGTAACGCCTGTGGAAAATTGACTAGGGACTAAGGCGTTCTAGGCAAAGTTCGTGACTAGTCTTCATAGGAGCAACGGAGCAACGATCCATGTTATGCTAAAAAGGAAGGTCATAGTTGTGCCAAGGGAAAGAAAGATGAAGACTAAGCCAAAATGAGAAGAAACGAGGAAATCAAGGGATTCCTCAAGACTATCATCTCCAATCGAAAGGGCTAAACATAGCCCCGTTGAGAATTATAGCCATGCAAAAAATTACTTTTAAATGAATAGTATCAAGCCATACTCATATATCATTTCTAACCGAATGTGCTAAATATAGCCCCTCAATAATTTCTTAGTTTTATGTTTATAGTTGAAATTTACTGATTAATTTAATTAAATTACTATTGGATGTTTTCAAATTTAGTGGTTGGACTTGAATTAATTATTGCAACTGAGGAGCTTGGCCCAAAAAAGGGGCTAAGAGGAGGGCTACATTTGGCCATCCTGATGCCCCTTTGGCCAAATAATGGTCTGGTGAGTTCTATAGAATTATAGCTCAGCCGTCGGTTAAAGTTGAATTTTTGAGCCATTAGTCCAACCGAGACACTTCCTATGACGCGCTAATTCTTTCGAATTATTTAGGGACTTGATGTTGAAGCAAACTAGGGGAAGCAAAAAGATTTCCATTAAGGCCCAAGTCCAGCTTGACCTAAAAGTCCCCCAACATAAATTGGCGAGTCCATTAGGGACCAAATCGCAACTTTGATTCAATGGCTCTAAGATCTAGAAGAAACGACATTAGGAGTGGCAAAGCCTCGGAAGGGGAAGGCAAGGCTGCTTCTTGGTTGAACAAGTCCCAGTGTGAGGAACATCGCCAGGAAAGTCAAGAAAAATTGGAAGAGTACGCCATGCCAGACATCCTCGCTGCCATTCACGCTTTGGGAGAAGCCCAAAAAGAAATTGCTGCATCTTTGAAGGAGTTGAAAAACTCAATCCCGAAGCCAATTGCAAGAAAATGAGTAAGAAGGATTGTGCATATCAAGAGATGATCGCCCAAGAAAAGTCAGTCGCTGCTGCCGGGAAGGGTTCTGAGAAGGGACCATCCCTTGTCACTTAAGAAGATGTCATTGCTGTGCTAGAAAAGGAGTTGCACAAAAGTTCTAAAGGCTGGAAGTTTTTCAACTAACTGACATGGAACCTTTGACATAGCTCATCAAGCTTGCTTATACCTTTTTAGCATAAAACGAGCACTACTATACATGTATGCATTAGTTAGGTGTCTCTCTTTTTTCAATTGGTACATCCTGAAAATTGACATGTTCCACTACTGATGTACTTATTTTTATCTATACAACTTTTATTAAGGACAACATGTTCAAAACAATTTCGGTAACTACACCTCTATTAAGTAATTAATAACCTCCTTATACTAAAATTTGTTTAATTCCAACATTATGATATAGAGATTATACTGTATATCATTTATTTGTTTTATGTTCTGCTATAGACAATTGGCTTGGTTGAAATACAAATTCACATATAGTAATTAATTAATAAGCGAACAAAATACAAGAAAGCTGTGCCATGATGTTAATTGTTGATATTTTTGCATGGCACAGTGGCGGTAGTAACAAAGCTTAAAAAGCCATCGAATCCCATATGGCCGTCCCGAGAAAGATGATGAATGACAAAAGGAATGTTAATTAGGAACGAATAATGTTGAGGAGATATATTTTCGTACCGTATAATTCAAAGTTTTGAAACTTGATTTGGTAACCGCAGCATTACCTATTATTATCTCTTTAGAGTGCGATAATCACATTAAAAACGATAAACATCATTAGTTCATTCCGAACATAAATCCGGTAAAATACTAGTACAGACTCTTGACACTTCTAAAGCACACTGGGATTCTCCCATCACTTACGTGGTTGTTTAATTAGCTAATGCGGACTTTGCGTGTCATTGTCTCAGTTTCATGTACAAACCCTGCAACAAACAAGCAAACTGTTAGGAGACCTTGTGTAGTAGTGATGTTATATGTACTAACATATAGATCTTCTTATATAACTAAGTCTCGCATCGTCTCATTCATTTGAGAGAAGTGATCAATAATGTGGTCTGTAAATATTACACAACTTAGTTTTATTGATCTTGGATATGTATGCCACATGGATCCCATCCATACGAATCTAAATTTCTTATATCAAGATTTGGATGTTAGGCAATCTGTGCAAAAATTCTAGCATGTGAGTTGAAGAGCATATGTATGTAGTGTGAATTGTTCCGGTTGTCATGCTGATGTTCTGATCCGGAACCAGCTTAAAGTTCAGGTTCTGAATAAAGATTGCTAGAGCAACAACCGCATCCAGCAGAGCAAACTGATCACCAACACACTTCTGTGGCCCTCCGCTGAATGGAATGAACCTACTGTGGAGCCAAAAATAACCATAAGGTGACACGTGAATTTTTGAATGAAGAAGACAAATATACCCTTGAGGTGTATCAGGATTCCTACGCGCGAGTAGCATGCAATCATCCTCAACCAAGTCAGAAATGCCCCAAAATAGGTAATCATTCAAGACCTATTTCATTCCATATATATTTCTTACCCCTTTTTCCCTCTTTTAGCTAAACAATTAGCCATCATTACATAACCTTCAAAATATTAATTCCAAAAATATGTTAATTGGCTAATTTAGTGGATTAATTAATAGATTAATCACCTAATTAATCCACTAAATGATAATTAATTCACCCAATTAACCCCAAAATCCCAAAGGGCCGGCCACCGTTGTTGATTCCTTCATATTTACCTATTTTGTCATTTAATTAGCTAGTTAATTTGGCAATAATTCCATTTGCTAAATTAATTAGTCAATTATTCCCATAACTCCTAAATTCAACCTAAATCAAGAACCTAGCCCACAAAAGGAGCTAGGTGGCCGGTCCTCTCTCACCCAAAGAGGCCGGCCATTCACCTATAAAAGGCCCTCCATTCTCTCCAAAAAACTTCCTTCCAACACACCTAAAAAAATCCCAAATATTCTCTAAACACTTTTCTCTCTAAATTCTAACTTTGGCATCGGAGGTTCTTCGGCCAAAGCCCACCCCCTCTCCCCCCCCCCCCCAACAAAAAAAATCATCGTGGGCGTGTGAGACTCTTGGCCCTTGACCCTAAGGTGTTAATTGTTTTGTAGGTGCAATTTTGTCCAAGATCAAAGAGGAAGAAATTTGTATCCACAAATTGGTGCTTTCATTGAGAGCTTTGATCCATACTCGTAGAAGACTCTCGCATAAAAAGTTTTTTCTCTATTTTCTAGTCCATTTGAATAATTTTCATACGTTCTTATTATTAGAATTTTTTATTTGCAAAGGTTCTTTGATAAAACGTATAAGAAAAATATAATGGCTAGAAATTTAGAAAATTCCACAAGAGAAAATTCCAATACTCAAGAAATGGGACCGCGGAGATCCACGAGGCAAAACGCTGTCGTAAATGGAGTGGCACCACCACTACGAGGCTCCATCATGGCCCAAGCCATGCCATCCAAGCTTACACGGGGCCGAGCCTAAGCCTCGCATTTGCATGCATCACACACTGAGCAGCCTGCTCCCGTAGCCCAGCCTGCTCCTGTGATCCAACCTGCTCCTATAGCACAGCCTGCTCCTGCAGCCCAGCCTGCTCTCATGGTTCTCCAAGCAGCCCAAGTCGGCCTGAGACTATCTCAACCATCCGGACCGACCATTGAGCGGGAGGTATTTTCACCATGTTTCTCTACGGATTTGACATTTCCCAACTTAAATCTCATGCCCGGGGTCCACCATCTTTCCACTGCTCAAAGAGGCTCACTCCATCCAAGTTTTTCCGATCCGAATGGCGAACAAAACTTGTCCCAACAAGTCATAGAATTGACGAGCGCCCTTGCACAATAGACAGCCTTAGTAAATCAACTTTAGCAACGCATCGAGATCCAGTATGCTCCAGATGAGATGTCCCGAAGTAGGATAAGAGCAGACGAGGAACCTTGCAAGCAGCCACTCAACCAACCACAGGTCGAATATTCGGGCAGTGTACACTCCCAATTGGGCCCCTGAAACAGCGTACACTCTCGTCTTAGCAGACAGATGAGCGTGCGTTCTCGACTAGGCCCATAGACAAGTATACATTCATGGTTGGGGCCACGCTCCAATAATCAACAATAGCAGGCTTCTAGGCAAAGTGTTCATTCGCAGCTAGGTCTACGAGGAGCATTATCCGTATCACATCGGAGCATGCAGCATGACAGCCGGAGAGAAGTGGTCATTTAATCCGGTTCAAGTTCAACCAGCAGCTGGCGAAGAAACCCCTCGCCTGTTAGGAATCTATCTCATATACCGAAGCCACGACATAGACAAGCCGAGCGTGTAGAAAGGCAGCCTTGGCCAGCAGATCAAGACTTGAGGCAGCTGAGAGCTCCGTTACCCCCAACAAAGGCAGATCCAAGAAGAGGTAGAAAGACTTTTCAATGAACGATTGCTTGAATTTCGACGCAATGAAATGACTGATGAAGCCCTAAGGCGAGATATGACCAACATAAGCAAGTCATCTTTCGTGGACGAGATTGAACAGGCAGAGCTTTCACGCAAATTTAACATGCCGCACTTCACATCTTTCAAAGGAGATGGAGATCCAGAAAGACACTTGAAGCACTACTGAAGCGCGATGGTCCTTTATCAGAACAATGATGCCTTTATGTGCAAAATATTCGCTACCACTCTACAAGATGAGGCACAAGATTGGTTTCACAAGATTGGTTTTCACCAAAGAGTACTCATCTTACCGCTCGATCAAGAAAAAGTCCGATCATTTGTTCAACATAAAGAAAAACCCAAAGGAGTCACTCCGCGACTATGTGAAGAGGTTCAAAGTGAAGAAGGCAAAGATCGTTGGATGTGATGACTCGATAGCAAGTGCAGCCTTCCAAAAAGGACTACCAGCAGACTACCCACTATTCTGAGAAATGATCATGAAAGAAGACCTAACTTTAGCAGGTTCTTTCACCCTGGCAGAGAAACATGCACTTTGGGGCGAGGCTTGGCGAGCAGAAAAGGCGCTCGAGCAGCCTCAAAATGAGTCGACAGTTGCTCAGAGGAAGAAGAACAAGAAGTCGCCTAACAAGGGCAGACATGAGGCCAAGCACAGGGTCCAACCCACAATTAAATAAAGCCCGATAGCCAAAAACTATTGTAAGTTCTCAATCCTGATCCATCAAATCCTTTGTGATATCAAGAAATAGCCGTGGTTCAAGCTACCAAAACAATCAAAATGAGATACTTCCAAGTTGGACCATACCAAGTATTATGCATTCTACCGAGGTCCCAGTCACATAACCGACGACTGCTACACTTGGAAGAACTACCTAGAGAAGCTCGTGAAAGAAGGCAAAGTTAATAGATACTTGGACAAGCCGGCTGCGTAGCCAAGAAGGAATACAGACAAAGAAAAGGAGCTGCCAACCAAAATGATTCAAATCAGTGGCATTTTCGTCGAATCCGAACACTTGGGGGCCACCAATAACTCCAAAAAGAGGAAGATCTAGCAGGCTTTACTAATCTCACAAGTCCAAGTAGTCGATACCCAACCTAGACCTATTATTGGCTTCACTGAGCAGGATGTATAAGGCGTTGATTTCCCGCATGACGATGCATTAGTAGTATCTGTTCAACTAGCCCATGCTATAGTCGACAGGATGATGGTTGACAATGGAGGTGTGGTCAATTTACTACAACTCTCAGTCATTCAAAAGATGGGCCTGGAAAGCACAATCATACCCTGAGTAGAGGTACTTATCGGATTCAACGGACACACCTCAATTCCCATCAACCACATCACACTTGACGTGAAAACACCACCAGTCGTCTCAAAACAAATGTTCACAATCGTAACCGACCCATCTCTCTACAATGGGATTCTTGGGAGACCTTGGTTAATCAAGCTGGATGCCATCACTTTTGTCAAATACCAAAAAATCTGATTCCGAATTCTAGGAGAAGGAGTCGGAGAGATCAAATCTGACTAGGCCTTATCACGACGATGCACTGTGCAAATGTTGAAAGAAACAAAGAAGAAGACCTTTACTCCCATAGAGGCTACCGAAGTCCAAAAAAGCGAAGAGGTTACCAAATAACAATTACAGCAGGTGGATCAAGAAGATGGCTCCCAAACAGACGGGATAGGATGGAAACCCGAAAAGGACGCCGAAGACATCATTCTTGATCCCCAGCAGCTGGGAAAAGATTACTAGAATTGGCTCACATCTAAGTCTGGATGAGAAAGAAAAACTCACGACTTTCCTTAGAGAAAACCGAGACATCTTCGCATGGTCACCATCCGACATGCTCGGCATTGACCTCGAGGTGGCCTACCACAAACTGCACGTCGATCCCACTGCCAAACCGGTGATCCAAAAGAGAAGACATTTTGCACCAGAATGAGTAGCGATCATTGAGGCAGAAATTGACAAGCTATTGGAGGTCGGATTCATAAAAGAGGTAGCACACTCAGCATGGCTTGCCAATGTTGTACTAGTCATGAAGAAAGAGAAGGGCAAATGAAGGGTTTGCGTAAACAACATTGACCTCAACAAAGCATGCCCAAAAGACCCTTATCCTGTCCCCAGGATCGATCTATTAGCAGATTCAACCTCTAGGAACCAGCTGCTCAGTTTTTTGGATGCATACCCCGATTATAACCAAATAGCCATGTATGAGCTCGACAAGGAGAAAATCGCGTTCGTGATAGAACAGGGCACCTACTGCTACAAGGTCATGCTCTTTGGCCTCAAGAACACGAGAGCCACTTACCAAAGGCTAGTAAATATGATGTTCAAAAAGAAAATTAGGGTAACCATGGAGGTCTATGTCGATGATATCATGGTAAAAGGCAAGCAGCGGTCAGACCACATTTGCAATTTGATAGAAACTTTCAATATCCTAGAAAGTTACAAAATGAAGCTCAACCCTACTAAATGCACGTTTGGAGTATCTTCAGGCCGATTCTTAGGGTACTTAGTAACTCAACGAGGAATTGAAGCACATCCTAAGCAAATCCGAGCAATCTTAGAGATGAAGTCTCCAACTACCTTAAAGGAGATCCAAAGCTTGACCGGATGAGTAGCTACCCTCAATTGCTTCCTCTCACAATCCACCGATCGAACAAGCCTTTTTTCAAAGCTATCAAGAGGGCATAACGAGACAAATGGGATGAAGAGTGCGAAAAAGCTTTCCGAGACTTGAAGAAGTATCTCACGTCACCTCCTTTACTATCCAAAGCGGAAGCAGCGGAGGATTTATACATTTATCTGGCAGTCTCCGAAGTAGCAGTGTGCTCTGCCTTCATATGAGAAGAGTTGGGGGCTCAACTGCCGCTATTCTACACTTCTAAA